ACATATTAAAGCAGGGTGTCTCAGACCACTTTAGCGTTCCTAATGATTTCATGGCGTTGGGTTTTCTTGCAGAGTCTGATTGTAAAGCCAAGCGGGAGCGCTGTAGCAGAAGGATTTGTACCCTAATGTGAGACGTGGGAGCAAACGAAGGGTTTTGACACTGAAAAGCACTTTATTCATGGTTTTAAAGGGGAGCAATGGTTTCAGCATCAAAGGACAGGAGAGCTGATGATATAATTTATAATGAATGAAGGGATGTTCCCACCGGAGAGGAAGAACGCTTAAGCGTTGGTGACTGGTGCCTGAACACACACACACACACACACACACACACACACACACACACACACACACACACACACACACACACACCAGAGGAGAGAGTAACGGAGTGATTCTCAGGGTGAAAGAGAAGTCTTCATTTCTTTGTTTTCCCTTAAAGTGAAACCTCAGATTTTTGATATCTGTTGCAGAACGCCCTTTGACCTGCTGGGCGGAACTGTTTCTGACTGGAATGATGAGCTAACTGCTAGCAACGGTGATGAAAAATAAGTTTTTTGCTTACTCTGTTTTATAAACCTTTACTTTCCCACTGATTTGACCTCATATGGTGATTTACATAAATTTCATGGAACTAACAAAGAACATTTACCAGCAAATATAATTTAAAATATTTGCAAATTTAAAATTTCTGCTTTTTCTGATCATCTTGTGACATTTTAGTAAAAAAATACTTTTTGCCTATTAAATTAATTTGGCAGCTAAGTTTTTATGTCTTAAATGGAGGACATAAGCTTTTTAAAATAAAACAAAATGCTGAATATTGAGTCTGAAGTTTTACTACTCTTTAGCTGTGGTCACATTTTACAGCACTTTGAGCCAATAGAGTTTAGGTTGTTCACCAAATGTCTGATTATTCGCAAATATTACCACTTAGTTGTGATTTTAACATTAAAACAATATAACTGTCTAACTATCAGCTTGTTCTACTTCCTCCACATGATCTTACATGAAAAATAAACAAAGAAAAAGGATTGGGAACCATTTTTTAATTATTCTTCCATAAAAACAGGAAGAATGGTCGCCTGTTCTTAGTTGTGTTATTAGATTCAAGAGAGTTTATCTGAATGCAGCATTTTTGAAAATCTCAAACCTTTGCACTGTTTTCCTAGAAATATTTAGTGATAAATCAACTTAAAGGCAGATGAGGTTTGTTCACAGCTAGGATATTCTGTACAGTGAGGCTGTGAATGCAGCAGGCCAACAATAGTGATTAGTGATTTTTAACGCTGACAACAACAATAAAACTGGACAGTGGTTGTACTGCCACTTGCTGCATCGTGTGTATTAATTTCCTTGTTTGTTAATTCGGTCTTAACTTGAGATTGTATGATTTAAGACTCAACGTTTGCTTTTAATGGCTAAAAATACTGCATCTAAACTCCGGATTCTAGAGATTTGTTTGGTTGTGCGTTTTTACGTTCCCTAGCAGTTTAGAAGGACCTAACAAACATAATAAATGAACTTTGTAATTGTACAGGAAGTAGTTTTCAGAAAAAAAGTTGTCCCACAAAAAAACATAAATAAAAAAAAGATTCCTTTGTTATTTCAGATCAAAATGTCCCAATTACTTCAAAATCAAGACTTCAACTTTCTATGACAACATGAATTTTTTCAGTTGTGACATAAAATACACCATTGGTTGACAAAAGTAAAAACCTGTCTATTTTAATACATTAAATAACTCAGCCAATCTTTACAGAAAATCAGCTGATTTTACCATGTTTTATGTAATAGTGTCAAATTCTCTGTGTGCTTTTCAAAACGGCAGCTGTGTGTTAAATGCATGTACGTCTGAGTACCGCATACTAAAAACGGTAAATGCGTGTTTGCATAAATGAACACTGCTCCACTGTAAACAGCCTGTTTACCATTAAAAGCCACATTCTATTTATATTGTTTTATTGACGAGGATTTATTCCGGACCGAGATAGGAAGAGACTGAAGAAGCTAGTTAAGAAAGCTAGCCCGGTTCTGGATGCCCACTGGATTTCTGTCGAGGCGGAGCTGACCTCCATCTTGGAAAATCCCCCTCACCCACTGTATCCCACTATGGAGGCCATTTAATGCTCTTTTAGAGGCAGACTGAGACATCCCAGATGTAAAACTATTGGATGTAGACGACGCTACTGTAGGTCATTCATCCCCTCTGCAGTAAGAGTGTACAACTCCTGAGTTTAACTGGTACTGGCATTATCCTACGCAATAACATCAGTGCTATGTGTTCATTACACAGATGCACATTTATATGTCTCTGTCCTTTATGCTGTTTCTTCTTGGAAACTACATTTTCTATTTTTATTCATTATTTTAATTGCTGAAGGTTGCAGTAATAGCCTACAGCCTTGTATTTAACTGTATTATTTTATCTTTCCTCTAAGTGTAAAATCTATTCCGTGACTTTTCTGACTCACCTGATGAAATCCAAGATAATCCACAATGGTTGAGGAAGCGTAGAAAACCATCCCATCATTGTTCACCACCAAGGCAAAGCCTGTCAAAGACTACACACACACACACACACACACACACACACACACACACACACACACACACACACACACACACACACACACAGTTAAATATTAAATACAAACTTAAGTGCAGTAAGTACAAACTTCCGACATTTTTTTATTTATTATCACGTTGATTTCTTTTTATCTCTTGCCTTTAGGACAAATTATCAGAAGAGTTCCTTAAATTTGCACTTTTTTTTATCCCAACTTTAAAACAATGAATACATAAATAAATGAAGAATAAAACAAACGTACATTTTCCGGCTTAACTAAATTGTTTTTGCTTTTTTCCAAACTGAGAAAAAAAATCCCCCTTCATAAACTCCTTACAAATCATGGAGTTAATAGAAAAAAAAGAAAAGTGGTCTGACCAAAAAAGGGGAGAAGTCGTAATAATAAAATAATCTTGTTTTTATGGCTGGTGCAGATGTAAAATGGAGAGAAATTATAAAATTCTTTCCAGAATCCTTGGAACAGAAAATAAGCGTGAAAGTGGAACAAAAGACGGGACAATAACTAACAGATGGTTGTGTTTCAGAGTGTGCCAAATAAAACAGTGAATTTATATTTAATCAGCTGCTTCAGAATAAGTTTTGGGTGTGTTTTCTCCTCAGATTTAGATAACTGGTGTGCAAAGTAAGCTCATCATATGGGTGACACACACTTTGATGTTTCTATCAACACAGAAAAACTTTAGTCTGCGTAGATCCTCTTGTTAGTAATAAACAACTGTAGGACTATCATTTTCACCTTCCCTGTTTAACACAAAGGATGACAGGTTCGGATAAAGAAAAAACAAAAACTCCGGTAAATGAATAAAGATCGGAAGATGGCGAAGTAAAAGAGGAAGAACAAACTTCACAGAGATGATTTGTGGAAGAATTCGCTCAGCGGTCGTAGCGTGACAATAAATGACTAGCGTGACTGCTGCTGGAGTCTGCCACCTCGTTTTATGGAGAAGAAATGCATGCAGGACTTTCCTGGTGCGCATGTGTGTGTGTCTGTGTGTGTGTGTGGTGTGTGGGGGGGGTGGGGGGGGGGGGGGGGGCTGATTTACGTACGCCTCTGTGATCTCTACTTTCACACTTAAACACCTGAGGATGATCTGATTGCTGTTCTGCACGCGTGTTCATGCTCGGTCATCTGTTAAGTCTGCGTGACCACAGCGAATTATAGCAGCAAACTGTCATAGAGTCATGATATAGAGGAGGGAGACATAACCTTTACAGCTGTGGTATCAAAACAAACGTTTATGTGTAAGAAAAGAGGAAATGATGCTGAAAGACAGAGCAGGCGCTCAGTTGTTATGATGCAAACGATGTTTGACATGTTCAACTGCTGGCACATGTCCCCCCAGTGACCCCCAAAACACACGCATATGTACACGCACACACACACACACACACACACACACACACACACACACACACACACACACACACACACACACACTTGAGAGCAGTGGGTGTTGATGCCAATGCCAACATTATGATAAACAATAATTTTTTTGGCCCAAGTTTAACAGAAAAGCTGAAATCATTCCATGCAAAGTGAAATATTTCAAGCCTTTATTTGTTATTTTGATGTTTCAAGTTCAAAATCTCAGGCAATTAAAATATTGTGAAAAGGTTCAATATTCTAGAGTGGCACACTCTAGTCAGCTAATGAATCCAGAACACCTGCAGAGAGTTCCTGAGCCTTTAGATGGTCTCTCAGCCTAAATTTAACTACTGATGTTAGTTAACTTTTGCACTATAATCTCATTTTTGAGTCTCACCTGTATAATAATGTTATGTTGGTTTTTGGATAGAAAACAAATCACTTTTTATTCTGGATTGAATCCTTTATGCAGCAAGAGAACTCGCCCCTCAATTTTACTTCCAAGTCATTGAAATAAAAAATTCTTGTACTTTAATGGTTTTAATTTTTCTGGAACAAATAGGGGTCAGATTTCAATCTGAAAGAGTTTGTGCAGGCCAAAGTGGGTGTGCGTGTGTGTGTGTACGTGCCATGTGTGCACGTGTGTGTGTGTGTATGCGTGCGTGTATGTGTGTGTGTGTGTGTGTGTGTGTGTGAGTGTGTGTGTATGCGTGCGTGCATGTGTGTGTGTACGTGCGTGTGTGCATGTGTGTGTGTACGTGCGTGTGTGCGTGTGTGCGTGTGTATGTGTGTGTGTGTGTGTGTGTGTGCTGGTTGCTTTTCTAAAGGAAATGCGTGGAAATCTTTCTACAGACAAACACAGTGAATTTGTTCTTTTCCTGTTACCGACTGTTAAAGGGACACTTGTTTATTAAGGTGGAATACATCAGCCCTGTAGAGGCAGTAAGGACTGCTGAAAACAATCATTATTTGATCATATTCCTCAAAAGTGGCAGGTGCATCCAACACAAACAGATCTTGTTATAAAAAAGTAAAATAACAACATGAAGGTATATGGGCAGCCCCTTGCAACACGCTGATTTTGGATGTCTTCTCAACATTTGCCTCATTTCCTTGCATACTGAAACCTTTAGGTAATGGAAACATGCACCTATTGACGTCCCTCGGCACCAAATATCTGCAATATCTGCAAAGCCACTTCACATTTAGCACATGTTCTCACTCGTGGATAGTAACTGGAGACAACTGCAACCCCTGTGTAGTGAAAAAACAACCTGGACTTCACCTTCATGTGTTTACATGTGACTCAGAGCAGGTGGAACACTTTTGTCATACTGTTTTATCCAAAAGTGAATAAATGAAATTCCTATTTATGAGTCTGCTGCTAAACCTCATCAGAGGTCTGAGGTCAAGTGGCTGAAAAACAAACGTTGTTGTTGACAGACTTGATGCGTTCTCACTTTCACACATGACCACATGCATTCAGACAGTTCTCTTGGCCTCCGTCAGCTCCGACACCACCGTCTTCTCCTCGTGTGTCACGCAACACCAAAGCTACACTGGGAAGTTCAAAGGTCAGCTCGCTCAGACAAACCTCCTTACAGACGTGGAGGAGAGTGTTTCACAGACGTGTGTGTGTGAGTGTGTGATAGCTGATGGTGTGTTTCACTATCACCAGTAAAGTGAACTTTAAGGTTTTTGTTTACCGATGACCTCCTCTGTTTAAGAGATTAGAGATCACATGCACACACACACGCACACACATCCAGGTCATATGGTTTCTTACTTCCAGGAGGAGGCTGCTTTCGTTGATGGTGGCGCCTAGTGGAAGGTTCTCTTTCCTGGGTTCAGGGTTAGAGGATGCTGTGCTGGTGATGTGCTTCCTGGAAGTCTTGTCTTGACTCGCTGTAAAAAGGAAAAAGGGTAAATAGATTGCCATATGGGACTATAAACAAATAGCATGTTCCTGTGCAACATCCGAGATGAAAGTGTTGATTTTTCATCAGTTAAACCGTTTAAATGATCTTGCTTGCCAGAAAAAAAACACCATGCAAGGTCTAAAACATGATCGGAATATTAACCATCAGATCAGCTTGAGGAACGTAGAGATTTATAATTTATTTATTTTCAAAACCCTCTATGGATTCTCTTTTGGCCTCTGGTGGGTCAGTGAAGGAGCTGGATCAGGACTCAGACATTTGGAGGACTCATTAACTGTATCAGTCTACTTTCCGCACTTTTATAAATGCCAGATAGTAATGTGAGGTGGACTAGTCTAAAAGAACAAAACACTGGAGGGTTTTACTACTTTGCAGGATTCCTTATGTGAGATAAGCACATGTGATGGTCACGGAAGGAGAAGCAGACACCAAAGTCAGGCTGGGATGCTTGTGTTGCTCAGGACAAACATAACCTTCTAAAGCAGTGATACTCAATTAGCGTTTGTGGCCCACAAACCCCGCGCGCACCCCCACCCCCACCCCCGATGGCCGACCAGGAGGTTTAGGATAAAGCTGAGGAAAATAATCAAATAATCAATGCATGAAATGCTAAATGATTCTGCATCAGAAGAGTACCATAATCAATTATAGAGGAATGTAGTTTTGTTATTTTAACGGCGGCACCAGCGTAGCATCCACATCTGTCAGAGCGGGTGTTCTCCACATTTACCGGGTAGGAAACGTTGGTCTGCCTTTATGTGGTTCTGCAGGGCTGAGCGCTGGAGTTGTAACATGAGACCGAACCCGAACCGAATCAGCCCGATGGGTTCTGTTGGATTTGGGCCGTGAATTATGTTAATTGCACGGGTTGTCGCGCTGCGCGCTCCGCTCACTCGATCAGTGACACACAGAGAGAGAGAGAGAGAGAGAGAGAGAGAGAGAGAGAGAGAGAGAGAGAGAGAGAGAGAGAGAGAGAGAGAGAGAGAGAGAGAGAGAGAGAGAGAGAGAGAGAGAGAGAGAGAGAGAGAGAGATTGTCTGCTCACACAAGAGAGAGGATCAGAGGACGCTCCTCCAAACACACGTTTTTATTTTCATAATTTCGTTATTGTTTCTCCTGGAAGCGCTCAGTCAGACCGAGTGCTGTGATGTCGGGAGATCCTCTTGGGGAGGGGGCGGGGTCAGTGACGGTGGCTGCAGCGTAATCATCTGTCTCTTTTATTTAGGGACACGGAGAAGTTAAAAGGAGAGAGAAATAGAAGATAGAAGTTCTTGTTCCACTTTATTCTTTGTTTCATGAAGATAAACTGATGTTAAATTCAGCTTAGAGAAAAACTGGGAGGAAGCTTTGGTTCATTTTAAGTTACAGGAGATCTTGTCTCTGCTCCTCCAGAGACAGCATGGACATGAGGGTCACATGGTGAGGGTCACACAGGACAGGTTAGTGCAGTCACACAGCCGAGCTGGAGGGGGACAGGTGTTGTCCTGCTTTATATTGCAAGCTTGTGTGTTATGTGGGCTGCACAGTGGTGCAGTGGTTAGCACTGTTGCCTCGCAGCACGAAGGTTGCAGGTTCGAAAACTCGGCTGTGGCCTTTCTGCGTGGAGTTGTGTGTTCTCCCCATGGATGCGTGGGTTTCCTCCGGGTACTCCAGTTTCCCCCACAGATCACAACATGCCCTACAGGTTATAAATTGTAAGTCGCTTTGGATAAAAGCATCTGCTAAATGAATAAACATAAACATAATAAACATGTGCATTACAGCCATCGATCCAAACAGCAGGAGCACCCCCCCCCCCCGCCCCCTACCCCCCCCCCATCCCCCCCCCATCCCCCACACCCTCTTTTTGTGAGTGGCCCTCGGACCATTATAATTGAGGACCCCTGTTCTATAGGAACCCGTTATCACCGATCATGGGCTTGTGGATAAAAAACAAGACAAATGATTATACATGACAATGAGAAAATCTACTGAGCTCATTAAAATGCAGTTATCACTATAGAGAAGTCACGTTTTCAGATTTCTTCAACGCTTTCATGCACAATTTACTGTTTTATCTTTGAGCGGTCCATTGCAGTGACCAGAGTCATGAAAGGGTTAAAACTGTTTAGAAAAGACACATTTCTTCCTGCACAGCAAACACACACACGGGTCTAAAACTACCTTCTGTCTTCTACTTCTTTGTGGATTCTGCTCTTTAAAAAAGGATGAGTATCTATAAATTATCCCAACAGTTCCGTTTCTCTAAGTAACAACGTCTGAGCGCGTCTACCTGCTCGGAGCGAAGCCTGTGTGTGTGTGTGTGTGTGTGTGTGTGTGTGTGTAGGGCAAGCTGAGCTGTCACGTGTTTCCTGCTGACGTTTGTGTTGCAGCCATGTTTGTGTGTTGGCCTCATGGCCGTCCTGACTGGGGGCATGTGGCTCGCTCCCAGAGATCAGCCCTGCGCATCATCGCTCGCTGTTGCAAACACAGATTAGTCACGCAACACACATGCGCAGTTTGTGCTTCAATACGTAAAACGTCACCATCGGTGAGTATATATGGCTCCTGACGCTTTGCTCTGTCCCCCCGCTGCCCACACCGAATAACCTCATTATGGCTTCAGTTTCTCACCCTTTGACCCTCAACTGTCTCCTCGCTACATTCTCCTCTTCCTCAAGCGTCTTCGGTGCTCCTTCTCATCTCTTGAGCTGTTTGGTTTCATGACGCAGGGCAAAGTTAATACTTTTATATTCTATCTGTAAGTTTACAACTGAAATCAGCTTTTCTTCACAATTTAAAGCAGTTTGTGTCACAAATGAGCTCCAACGGGCTCCGAAAGCCAGTGCTTACGTTAAATGTTTAGTCATCACTCACAGTAAGTGAGAACACATACAAACAGCACCAGACACCTCCCGTCTCTATTGAAACTGCTCAATCACCACAATATCACCCATCCAGTGGAAACTATTGCGGAAAGGAAATGAGTCTAATAACCGTCTTCGTTTTCCTCCTTCATCGCCTCATATATTTTTGTTTTCTCTCTTATGGCAGCTTTTGGAGAGGATGCAGCGTCAGGAAAGACAAACATACGGGATGATTAATTATCGGCACCGGCACTTCCTCTGCCGACAATGCAGGCTTTATTCGTTGACATCCGCGTCTTGGGGTTTGCTTTCTTTACCTCTATTTTCTCCGTCTCTGCTCAAAAAGGAAAACAGAGGAGGTAATGGCGAGGCGTTTATGTGCTCGGTGTGAGGACAGGGTGTTAGGTAAAAAGTGACAAGTAGCGGGATGTAGACGCTGCCAAAAGGGTGAGGTTGAAAGTGTCCAGTTCCCTTCATGAGCCAATGACCGGCTTTCCACTGAATGCACAGAAGATCACGACCACCACTTGTTGAGTTACAGTTCATTTTACAGTAAAACTTGACTCGGGGTTTATAAAACCAGATGAATATTAATGAAACGTGACGATACCAGATGACTTTGATTAGTTCATAAAAAAGCTGGACGTCACATTTTCTGATGGAGCGGGGTTGAGGTGTGTTTGTGGAGCAAGCGGAGAACTTTGAGGGGTTTTTGTCTCTTTTCTACACCCCACCCAGCCTCAAAAGCCACTTCCTCCTGTAAAACCCAAAGTAACAATAAAAGATGTAAAAATGGACTTGTAGATGCAGGCAAAAACATTATCACCCACCTTTAATGCTGCTAAACAGAGTTCATGCTGAAAAATGACCACTATATTAATATAATAATAATCCAATAATATTAAAGTAACAGAGCAGTGGAGGGTTTTATAAGAATGACCAAAATACTCGAACTGGATCTCTAACGTGTCTTTATTATTGTTATCAAACTGTGTAAATGGGCCATTTTTTAAAGACCCTTTTCAAGTGCCTTTAGTTTAGTGATCGGTTTCTCAGGGGCGTGTCCAGGGGGTGGCCTGGGGTAGCACATGCCACCCTTGGAATCTGATTGGCCACCCCACTGAATTCCCATTAAATAGACTTGTCTACAAAATGCTTGAGGTAGAAACAAAATCATAACCATTGGTGTCACCCATGCATAAAGAAGTGCCACCCCATTTTAAAAGATCTGGGCACGCCCCTGCGGTTTCTATCCCTGCTGTTGAAAGTGTTCTTCCACAGTAAACATTTCAGAAGATGAAGCGTCTCCTGCGTGAGACCACAGTCATGTCCCGTGTCCAGGCTCTTCATGTCTCTCTGATTAGAGCAGCATGGCTGCCATCTTTTGGCAGCTGATCCTCAGCTGCAACTTGTAAAGAAACGTTTGAACGTGAGTGCCGAGCAGCACAGCAGTCCCTCCCCTCCCTCAAGGCTCGCGTGAGTGCAGAGAAAACTGTGTGTTTGTGTGTTTTGAGGTTTGGCTGGCTCACGGCCACCTCCTTTGCCTAGCCCCGCCCCCTTCCCTCAGCTCTCTACTTCTGTGCCTTCCTCTCTCTGCAGGCACAGGAAATCCACAGCAGCGAGAGCAATACCAACACACACACACACAAAGAGAGAGAGAGGAGCTGGCTGATCAAGGGCCGGTTGTCACGCGAGCGAGCCGTCTGTCAATCTGCCCCCCTCCTCCTGACAGCCTGCTGGCTGACAGCCAAGGCCTTGCGTGCAAACCGGCGAGCCACATTAACCCATAAAGAATTTCATAATAGCAACAGCTGTTAAATATTGATGACTGCTGGCAAGCACTCAATGGTGCCTAGCGAGAAAAAAGCTCGAGCCTGCACTGTAATGGAAGCTAATATTTCATTACAGATCAAATGTCCGGATCTTGGCCCGTCCAAATCCAACCTGTGCCACTTCCCTTTTTTCTTCATGTTTTTACAGCATAAGAACCTTTTTTTGTTCTAAAATTTTCCCTTTTTTCTCCAAACCGACAGGGCCAGAATTTTTGAGCGTTGCACCGGACCGAGTCAATCCTCAATCAGCCTACATACCAGCATTAATGTTCATTCTAATCTTTCCCA